TAGTTGCTAGAGGTTTCTTGTGATTATTCCTTTATTATTGTTATATGAATAATGTAAAAGCTTAAAACATATTTGCAATGGTTGAATCCATATACATTTCTTATTCTTTAGTCAAAGTTCTATTAGAAGGTCTATTTGCAACTCCACTTGAAGCTCTTTCCATAGCTCCTTCAAAGCTCTTATTTTATTTATTTATTTATTTATTTATATTAAATGAGAATAAAAATAAACAAATTCCAAGACCTCCCACCTCAAGCATTTACATTAGGTTTACCTTTTGTTGTATTATGTATATTCTTGCATGAAAATGCACTAGGCACTTAGTTATAGAAGATAATTTAAAATGTAACATCAAAATTATACCAAGTCTAATAAAGTTATAAATAAACCATAAATAATCTTTAACAATCTTAATCAAACTTTAACTAATTCAAAAGAAATTTAAAAGAAGTTAAAAAAAACATAAGAAAGTCATACTTAATTTCAAAAAAGAATAATAAAGAAATAAAGAAATAAAATCCAAAAGAAATAATAATAATCTTAAAAAAATATTAAAAATTAATTTTTTAAAAGAAATAATAAAAAATCCTAAATAAAGATTAAATATAAAAAATCTAAATAAATCCTAAATAAATCTTAAATAAATCCTAGTTAAATCCTAATCAAATCCTAAATCTTAAATCAATTCTAATAAAATCCTAATGAATCATAAGCAAACTTTAAATCAAATCCTAATAAAATTCTAATGAATCCTAACCAAACCTTGTATCAAATTCTAATAAAAATTCAATAAAATCTTATTCAAATCTTAGACCAAATCTTAATCAAATCTTAATTAAATCTTAAATAAATCCTAACTGAATCTTAAATTCTTAATCAATTTTAATCAAATTCTAAATCCTAAATCAATTCTAATCAATCCTTAAATAAATGTTGATATTTGAATTTTCTTTAATATGAATTATTAATTATTTATCTTATATACTTTGATTTGGCTCATTTATATTCTTACAAAGTAAATAAAAATCTCTTCTACAAAAAAATAGTATTAAGACTAATTTTTTTTTTACCTTCCTATTATTTATCCTTATTTTTTATTATATCTTTTTATTAGGCTCTTCAATGATAACATCCATATTTTTATTTTTTAGGCCGCAATTGACCTTCTTTTTTAAGTCCTTCACTAACAAGGATAAGAAAAATGCTAGACGAGCACCTATAATTTCTAAGTGAGCATAAATTTATAATTAGTGAGTAATTAGATAATAGCTATTGAACTTGCCTTAATGGAAATTGAAATGTAGTATATAATTTGCTAGAACCTAATAATGAGACAATAGACCACATTATGGATTATGAAATTTTGCATTGATGGATGTGTCAATTGATTGTTCATAAAGCATGATTAATCATTTTCAAAATTTTAAATGGGCGGCTAGTTTTTATGACGAGAAGAGATATAGTTAAGTAGTAGCTTGATAGAAAAATAAGAGGAGATGATAATATTTCATAAAGATTTTTGAAAAATATTAGAGATCAACTAGTAAGGATGAAAGAAGAGGACCAAAGATAGTTGATTATTCTTAAAGTTGTTATACTTATTGATTTTAGGCCCTAGAAGGTTGATAAGTATTGGGAGGAAGGTGAATATATGAGGCTTTGCCTCCTTATATAAATTCCAAGCAAATCGTGGATGCTTCTATTTTGAAAGATATTATACCAATAAAGATCTATTGGTGATCCGAGGGAAGATGAAACATTGAAGAATAAATCCCTCTTACAAGATTGACCTCCAAAGATCAAATAAGTAAATACAACTAAGAATTCAAGTCCACAATCTTGTATTGGAGGTAAAAAATTGACTATTGGATAGTAGTTGTATCACTAATCAAAGGATGGACTTTCATGAGCAAAAACAAGATATTCTCTTTTAATCGTGGAAAGATTGTTGTAGTAGTATTTATGAATTAAAGTTCTAGCAATGTCCTTCGTTTGTTTTTGGTTGACAAAATTTATTGATGAATATTACAAAAGAAGAAGTTTTTAACAAAAAACTAGTTATTGCCAATGGTGAAAGCAAATAACACACCATATATTGTATGTTTTTAGATTATCTATTTTAATCAAAAAATCTTTGCCTAGATTGCGATCCATTATAAGGATGACTTGCTTTTTGGTTTGCACTTATATGAGCCATTCTCTATGTTTAATATCAAAAAGCTTACCTTCCACAAAGCATGCGATGGAAACAAATTTTGAAAGGAAGTCCATCTCTTGTTTAATTATTTCTTGGTTGATAAAGATAATATGATTAATATCTTATAGTAGAAATCTCATGTAGCTATGATGGTACCATTTGATTAAATCTTCACTTAGTTGCACCCTTGTGAGGTGGAGTATCTTGCTAGTCCTCGATTGCTAGGCAAAAATGCTGAAAAATTCATCTTCTATACTTGCAACTCTATCACTTGTTTCCAGTAATTGCCCATGGTTAGCCTCTATCTGCATATGGTCATAACATTCTATTGTCGTATGGCGTGATTTGCTAACTGAGAATACACTTGGTATCTAGTTGTAGAGAGTTTAGGTTAAATCCTAATACGAATATTTTCTTAGCTTCCAAAACTCCTTTGATTTGCATAAAATTCAAAATATAACAAAATTCCTTCAAAACATATTTTTCCCGCAAAGGATTTTCTTGTCTTGAACTTTAGAAATTCATAACTCTTGATTTAACTGTTCAATTTGTCTCAAATTTATAAAATAGGTAGAATTTACCCTTAACTTTTACTACAAGAAAAACCAACTACAAATTCACTCCCAATATTTCGGCATCTAAGAAACCCTAGTAGATGTTCTAAACCCTAATTTACAAGCATCCAAGCACTATTTTCTTAATATCTCAAGAATAAAATACTAAAATATCATCAAACTTATGTGAAAAGTTAACTAACATGAATTTACACATTCCCTCAAAATTTTGAGCCAAAACCTTGTCAAATTGCTCAAGATATAGCTCAAGACACAACCACTAGTAAATCGGGTCACTTATTACCCTTAGATTGCATGTGCTGACTTCAAAATCCAATAACTCCTTTATCCCAACTTGGAATCCACCAAGCAATATGTGAAAAATATGGCCGCAAAAGTGTTCTCTCCAGTCGTAGATGCCGATCCTCAATTGCCATCCGTACGCGTGCGTTACGTCGAAAAGAGTGACAATAGCTCCCAAATCAATACCTTAACTTTGAGCACCTGTATCTCCTTCATATAAACTCCAAATCATACAAGATTTGCACCAAAACCATAACCAAAAATCTAAACTTGCTGATCTTAGCCTTTAAAGCTTAAATCGCCCTGAAAAACTAACCCTAATCTCTAATATGGCCTCAGGCAGCCTCCTCAGAGCCTATTGGTCATAATTTTTGACCAATAGGAATAGAGATTTTCATCATTCATCTCCATTCATCTATATTGGTGCCCTAACTACTCCCTTTGCTACCAAAACCCTTCTTCAATCATTTTTTTTTTAATAAGATTTACATAATTTATGCTCTAAACACCAAATAAAAGAATCAAAATAAGTTTTCAAAGGTCACCAATGTCTAACAAAGATGACTCTAAATATTTAGAAGTTACTATCAACCAAAACCAATCTTAAAAGCCACTATCAAAAGAAATTAATACAAATTCTATACAAATTCTATAGTAATCTTTTTAAACAACCTCTTTTCAAGGTAATAATCAACTTATATTCTAAAACCAACTAAATCTACTAACATGGCTCTTTCCATGTTACTTAGTAAATTATATATTAAGTACATAATTACATTATTTTCATATAGTAGCTGAACTACAACACGATACCATCTAAGACTCCCCCTTGATAAGGTTAACATATGACGCCATTATAGTCATACAAACACTCATTCATACATAAAAAAAATAATGAAAGAATAAACAATATGCTTTGATTGTGTGGTGATTAGTCCACAATCTTAATCCCACCACTTTTTGTGATCCCCTAAGTTTTCACCAAGATGTGTGTTTCAAGAAAATTTTGCTAGAATAAGTCACGCAACTTCAACTTGTGGCTGCAGCACATACAATATATGCAACTCGGCCTTAGGGTGCAACAACTATACCGCACCATCTTGAAATTAGGTTTTTCAGAGCTCATCCTACTCCTTCTAACTCTCAATCTTTTTTCCTTTACAAAGTCGTTGATTCTGTACTAATTTTTGTGAGAACACCCACAAACTTCATGGCACATCTTACTCCTTCTAACTCTCAATCTTTTTTCCTTTACAAAGTCGTTGATTCTGTACTAATTTTCGTGAGAACACCCACAAACTTCATGGCACATCTTACTCCTTCTAACTCTCAATCTTTTTTCCTTTACAAAGTCGTTGATTCTGTACTAATTTTCGTGAGAACACCCACAAACTTCATGGTTTTAATTTAGAACACTTGCCCAGTCTTGTGGCATTGAAGAACACAACGGTGGTGATACAGGGGCGCTTCCAGTGCCTCGCTGGAGATGCTATGAGTCCATATGCGGGCGTCATCCCGAGATAGGATCACCCGCGCGGCAGCGGCAGCAGAATAATTGAGGGTTGACTAGCGTCACATGCCGCAGACGCCCGGCACCGTCCCTTAAGCCTGAAAGCGTCATTTATGGTGGTTTAGGGTTAGGGGAGCCGCGAGGCAGCGTCAGCTGTCACTGTGCCCTGCATTCGACCCAAGCATCGTCGTGACCACTAGCTAGAGTTGCCTGCGCTGATGTCCAAGTGGTTTGCGGTAAAATGTGGATCATTGACTTCAGTTTATGCCGAGATTACCCGCAATAGGAATAACAAAGGTATGGGCTGCTGCGGTGGCGGCAGGAGCCTAATGGGTCAGAAGTCGTCGACGGAATGGTGGTGGGATCCTGAGCGAGGCAGAAATTCACGGAACGATCGAGCCTTTGTGCGTCACATCCGTTGGTCCACTGGTGGCCCACAAACTAAGCAGCTGAAACAGGCCAGCGATCATTCCTGCTACCGCACGACAGGGGCGTGGGGGGCTCCCATCTGTATTTCATCCTGAAGAATCTCCTGACGCGGAGAGGGCTCTGTGGTTACTGTTACTATATGATGACCCGCAGTCAAAGAATGTTGCAGGAATTTGACATAGCACCCTTATTCGCTCTCATCGACAAGTGCGCGCCAGTCAGCTAGAGAGCTGTGTCGATACTTGCGGAGGGGTGGGAAGAGTCACCTGGGGCGAGAGGACTGGCTAGCGGGGTGGTGGCGGGCAGTGCTTGAATGATTGCAGGGAGGATTGTAGGTTACTAGGTGCTGAGAGATGGTGTACGTGCTCTTGGAAAAGAAAGCGGCGGGTAGATTGAGTGGAACCGAGCGCTGAGACAAGTGAGCTGTGGGTGCCGATGCGAAGGGTACTGGATTGTGCTTGTAAGACTTGGGGCGCAGTGAGGGGTGTCGATAGTGTGCAGACAGCTGTTCCATTGTTCGTCTGTATTCGGGATGAAAGTTCTTCTACACAGGGAGATTCCCGCGGGAATTGGGCGAGCTAGGCCGGACCACTGTAATCCTGGTTACCTCAGGTTTTGATTTTGAGACTGGTGGGTTGAGTCAGAATTCAGGAGCACAGGTACTTTATCATACGGTGTGGGTACGCATGTTTTCCTCGGGTTGGTGACCCTGCGATGGGAGTGCGAGGAGAACGGAAGCAGGCAGATGTTTTGATCACCTGAGACGGCAGGTTTTTAAAACTGCAGATGAGGATTATGGACTTCTTTGACTCTTTTCGGAACCTTGACGTGTGCCGAAGGGACAATACTGAAAAGCTGTTCCAGTGAGGTGCGTTCAACGATCCATGAAGCTTTAAATAAATCCTCTTATCTCGGTTACATGTCTCTCTTTTATTTATAAGATGGTCCATTCTATTTTCTGCGCAGACAGACACTTTGTAGTGGGGTTTCACAGCAGTTTGTTTTTGTACATGTTGGGTATCTAGCCTTACCTTACAATGCAGCATTATATAGAATCCTGTCAATCGGAAACTATATCTGAATCTGTTGGAATTAGAAGCTGCTCGCATACACGCATTGTGGTATAGGAGGAAATTGAGTGAGTTGAATCTTAAGCTGCATTGATCACGGCATCGGTTGTCGTATATGACTAAGGAACTTTGCACACCCATGCAGGATAAAGATTTTTTTTTTTTTTTTTTTTTTTTTTTTGACTTCGCCAGGGTTTGCAACGAATTCTTCACTTTGTAGCGTTTGGATTCTTGCTATGCATTTTTCAATAGCTTACATGTCATCACTGCCAGATTGATTCTGATTGCTTCCATGTGTTTTATGTTCACAGGTGGGTTTGAATTGTAGAGAGTTAGGTATCTCAAGATGAATTGTAAAGACGGCCTTGTGCCCGGCGGGCTCGGGCAAAGGGCAGTGTTTGTGTGCAACCATGAGGCGAAGAACATCTACACCAATTCTGCCTATCAGATTATGACAGGGGTGGATTCCGCGGAGGAATTGCTTGGTCTGGGATGGATATCTTTTGTTCATCCCGATGATTTGCCCGTGGGTCTCTTGTCCTCACCTCCTCCTTTGATTCTGAACCCTTTGTACAGGCAATAGACGACAGTAGGGTTTAGGGCTTTGCAGTCTCTAATTTTTCAACCTGGTTGGCCAATGTGCGCAGGCTGTGTGGGCTCTTGCATTCGGGCACTTCTCCTCCCCCGCCGATGGCAATCGTCAAATTCAATGTGAGTACCGTCTGACGCACAAGTATAAGAAGAATTCTTTCATATGGGTGAACGTACAAACTGTGGATATGTCCGGCTGCCCTGGACTTGGCAGGTATGCACGTTCGCTCTACTTCCTGTTGTGATTTACTCAACTTGTTCCATAATTAAGAGCACGGAGAGAATTCTTATATTGACTTCATTTGGATGGATGTTTCAATGTATTGTAACGTATTGTATATTGGTTCACGTGTGTGTAGTTTCGTGGGGATATTGGAGGATATTTCTTGGAAGAAAGAGGCGGAAGAGTCTCTCCGGCGCAGCGAGGAGCGGTACGTGCTCGCGGTGCGGGGCTCCAATGACGGGCTATGGGACTGGGACATGGTAGCCAACCAGGTGTTTTATTCGCAGCGATACAAGCAAATGTTGGGGCTCGGAGCTACGGATGTGGATGTCTCCTTTGGGGTTTTCGAATGTCGATTGCACCCTAAACACCGCGGTCATTGCCTGAATCTCATTACTTTGTTGTCTTTTTCGGAGATCATATCTTCTACTCATGGTTTATTGGTACCATAGTTCTTTTTTAACAGGGGTGGGCATTTTTTCAGGAGTGATCTCAAGAAAGTGTTTTTTGTGGATTGTTCTCTAGATTCTGTATTGGCGACCATGAAGGATTACCTGGAAACTAGAAGTGCTGAATCGCCGCCCTTCGACGTGGAGACTCTCCTGCAGACAGGAGACGGTAGCTACAGCTGGTTTCGTGTCCGTGGTCAGGCTCTTTGGAACAAAGAAGGAGTACCTGTCAGAATGGCAGGGTCTATCACTGATATCACGGAGAGGAGAAATTGGGAAGAGGAGCAGGCTCGACTCATTGCGAATCTCGCTATTGCCCGTGACAAAGCAGAAAAAGCTGCTAAAGCAAGATCCGAGTTTCTCGCTGTGAGTGTCAAATTGATTCTTATCTGTTGACGACGACAGCGTTACGTTTTGATTTTTAAAGGAAAGTCCATATGTGTCCTTATTTTACTGATAAGTAGCGGTGTTTATTGTGCGTTAGGTTATGAGCCACGAGATTAGAACCCCGTTGAATGGAGTTATTGGCATGGCTTCAGTTCTCCTAGATACAGCTCCTACTCCGGAGCAGCAGGAATGCCTTGAAACGATAAGAACATCCGGAGAGTGTCTCTTGTCGATTATCAACGATATTTTGGACTTTTCCAAGATCGACGCCGGGAAATTGACCATTAGTCCAGTGCGATGCAACTTGCGCAATGTGGTGGAAGACGTGGGAAGTATGCTCGCCCTCCGGGTTGAACCTAAGGGAGTGGAGATGGTGGTTCGATATCGTCCTGCCTTGTCCGCTGTCTTTGTAGACGCTGTTCGGCTTCGACAGGTTCTCATAAATCTAGTAGGAAACGCATGCAAGTTTACCCACATGGGCTATATCGTTGTTGATGTATCCCTCGTATGCGAGAAGTGTCAGCAGGGGCTAAACACGGGAGACATCAATTGCTCTCACTGCGGCGCGGCTCCTTCCGACATGAATGGTGTGCATTACCCCGTTACGAACCCGGTGGGTGAAGCAGCTTGTGCGCTGGATGCGACGTTGCAGAACGGACGCTGGGATCCTAATGACCCCGAGTCGATTTTTATTCACAACCCAGACAACGAACAGCGAAGAAACCGCGCCGTGGAAAATATTCGAGCTCACATGACCCTCTGTGAATCGTACAAAGGCCTCAGCATTGACAGGGTCAGCAGGACGGACATTTTTGCGGATGGCATTGGTATGGAAGTTAAGTCGGATCCTATCTCAAAAGACTCCCAAGTGAAGCCACCCGCCTTTGCAAGTCACAACAAGAGGAAGAGACTTTACGGGCGCATAGATGATGGGAATGACCAGTGTAGCAGTGTTGAGGCAGCCGTGTTGTGCTCCCATAATCCTTGTTCTTGCAATAGTTTTTCGGACAGGAGATCTATTGAAGTGAGTTCTTGTTCAACGGGAGGAGCCACGAGCACTCTTTGTGACTCATATTCTGATGTCGAAGAGGACTCCGCAAACGCTAACAGGCCCCGAACTGTTCGCTGGTTTAGGTTCTCGGTGATTGATACAGGCATTGGGTAAGCTGTTTGCTGGTTTGTTCGTGCGTTTGCAAATGTTGGTTTCTTGGTCATGGTCTCCAAGGACACTCGTGAGTAATATCTTATGTGGCTATTAATGTGTCGATGCAGTATTGCGGCGACCAAACTGGATATGCTTTTTGAGAAGTTCACCCAATGCAGCACTTCAACGACGAGTACATATGGCGGCACGGGTCTTGGCTTGGCCGTTTCGAAAAGACTTGTAAGGATTGAGAACCAAATGCTTATGATCCAAATTAACTGGATAATAGCGCGATTTGTTTTGTTTGGAATCTAGTGCTATCACTTCTGATCTTGCTATGCACGGTGTGTAAATAAATCAGGTTGAGCTCATGGGGGGCACTATTGGTGTCGAAAGCGAGGAAGGGAAAGGTTCGAAGTTTACCTTTACCTTACCTTTAGAGCTGGACCCCTTATCAGAGCAAGGAGACAAACCTCCCTCTGTCTCCAACATCTTGGAGGATGCTGTCGAGGACAACGAGATAGCCAAGCAAAGGAAGCGTGTTCTGGTGGTCGATCGTCATGAAATGACCAAGGAAGCACTCTGCGATCAGATACGCGCTTGGGGGTTGGATGCTATGGCTTGCAATAATGTCGGCGAGGCCATTGCAGCTCTGAAAGAGACTTACTCTTTGCGTTCGCCTTTCCAGGGTAAGTCTCCTCATCAAGTACATCACGTTTATTCTTATTCTTTGTTATCGCCATGGTCTGACATGAACTTTCGATGCTTTTCTTGGAGTCTGTGCAGTTGCTATTGTAGAGCGGTCGGTTGTGGAGCCTTTTGGACACGAGATGAGAAAAGCTGCTTCATCAGACACACCCGAAATCAAATCACTGGCAGTCGTCATGCTGGGTCGGGTAGGGCAGAGTCTTCCGTCTCAAGGAGTCTTGGCCGAACTTGGGTGTTGTGCTTGCTTCAGTCGACCTCCTCGACAAGCCTACCTAAGAGATGCCTTGTCAGTGGCTTTATCTGGGGGCGCCAAATGTATCCGAATGAAGCCTGATTTCACTCTTGACATGATGCGATCTGCGCCTCTGGGCTTGAGACAACACTCATCAATTCAATCAAGCGGGTTTCTGCACGCAGCTAGTTCGAGGAGCAAGAAAAGCATGGAGCAGCAGTTAGACGCTATCGCAGTGGGTAGCCCTCCTTCAGTTTCTTCCTCCATGTTGGATGCTCAACCGATTGCTCGGAAAACTAGTATTCTCATTGTGGTAAACATTCTTCGGAACCACCACTGACTCTAATCCGTACTTGCCGATTCTATTGTCTCTTTGTTTATATTTTAGTTCAAGCAATGTGGTTTCATTTTTTTACGATTCTATTGCTTTCTCTGATAAATTTAAAAATGTGATTTCTTGCAGGAGGACAATAAAGTGAACCAAATGGTTGCTCAGCGACTGCTCAACAATTTGGGGTGCACAGTGGATGTAGCATGCAATGGTGTCGAGGCCATTAGTTTGCTGGAGCGCTCGGATGACTACGACATAATTTTCATGGACTGTCATATGCCTGTGTGTAACTTACTCTCTCCTTCCAGCTATGATAACTCTTTGTAGTCAGATCAGTTTTCTCCCTTAGTTTCGATCTGCTTTATTCTCAGCTAAATCTTTTTAAATTTTAATAAACGCAGGTTCATGCACTAATGTTCACAGAAAATTGCTCTCATATTGCAAGTAGTCCTTGCACGTGGAAGTGTCCCTCTTTAGACTCATCTCTGCTTTAACAGTTGGTTCAGGGAAACCAAGTGTGCCTACTGAGCTATTTAGAGAATCAGTCAGTTCATCTCATCCCTGGTAGAGTTTTAATTCCTTCGGCTCTCAAGGTTTTTTGTGGATGAGCTCCATTGAAACCAAGCGTAATGAATGGTGCTGCAGATTATGGATGGGTTTGAGACTGCGCGACTCGTGCGACAGAAGGATTGTATATCTAACGCCATCCCTATAGTGGCACTTACGGCGGCCACATCCGAAGGAGAGGTGGAGAAGTGCATAGCTGCTGGAATGGACGACTATATCAGCAAACCTGTGACCAAAGGAATCCTGCAAAGATCATTAGAGAAGTGGGTTGGAAAGGAGTCCAGATGGGTGCAATAGTCCGAGTTTTGTTCACTCTATAGCCATTAATTGGTTCATCAAGGACGGAGGAGTGAAGACAATACAAGATCATCGCCCATACACGGTGTCTCGCACTGGAAGTTTGTCTCGAGCAGCAGCTCATTCCGACTCGGCAACACAACTCTCAACTCTCTCTCGTTTCTCTTCTCGTGAGCTCCTCTCTCCGCGTTCCTGCTCAAGCTCTCTGTACATACAAGTCAATTCGGAGAGTTTTGTATATTTACGTAGGATTAGCGAGTTGGAGAGATAGATTCTTTTGCACATTGGATATGAATGTGCTCTTCCGCATGGAAGTTGAGGGAAATGGAGATTGTTTAATATGCTGGTGGGGCGGTGGTGTTCTGAATATGATTTCTTGCTACTCTACCTCCACTCCCTCTCTCTACAGATTGGCAGGATCAGTTTCAGGGTGAAGAGTTTGGGCTTCATTGATTTGGCTCAAACCACTCTCAGATTACAACTATCATTTTTAAGTTACTCGTTTGGAATAATCTTGAGTAACTCCGAAAGCCTGTTTGCCAAACCAGCGACTGATTCCATGCATTGTGAACAAAGAATACACTGCATCCTCAATGTGCCTGCTTGCGAGGTATTCTGACCTGGTTGGGGGGTCCACCGCTGGAACTGTTTCTAGACTGTATGTGTGTTCTTTGTGATTTTACAAAAAACTAAAAATATATGAAGAAATCAGAAAAAAAATGATTTAAAAAAAATAAAAGACACATTTAAAGTATTTTCAATTTTGATAATAAAAACTCATCACTCACAAATTAGTCACTACAAATTGATAATCGAAATGTTTGGAAAAGAGAACCTTTACCTGAAAAATAAATTGTAGTTAAAAGTAGTGGAAAATGATTTAATGTTTGAAATACAGAAAACTCTTGTGGTGAAATAACAGAGTATTTTAATCTTGAATAAGATTAATTTATGAAATGCAGTGATGTGATCTTTTTGAAAGCAATGTAAGTTTAAGAACCAAAGAATTTCCTAATGTGCTTTAACAAACTTAATCAAAGAATGTTAAGATAAGAAAATTCATAATTTTACAACTTAAAGGTGTAATTGTAACTAGTTTTCTATTCTTAATTATTTTTTAATTCTTTTAACAAGGCAAGAGTACATTGTGTAGAATAGTCCATTAGGCATGGTTGTAATTTCATAGTTGGAATTTAAACCATCAGCTTTTTAATATTATTTTTGCATAATTGCATGCGACTTGCCATTTTTTTAGTTATTTAGAGTCACTTTGGATCAATTGTAAAAGTTTTCAAAATATTAGATTTTAGTTGGTTAAAAGTTACATTTTCTTGCTTTTCTAGAAAATAAGAATGTTCAAAGAAGCCATCTAATAAGTTATATTGTTGACTTAAACCGTATGTAATTTTAAATTATAATAAAGGCATCTTGTAATGGACATGACAAAAACTAAAAACTTATCTTGATATAAACTTTTTATGATTTGTTTGACTCATATAAATTATGATTAGACTAAAAAAATAATAGATAATGATTTAACTTCAAAATTAAATTTTAGATTTCAAAGACTTATGAATTGTAACTTCCAATAATTTTTAGTTTATAAATTTAAAAGTAAAATAAGAAAAAACAATAATAAAAGTCAATCATCTTACTTATTTTATAATAATATTGTATATATGATAATTTCTTATACTTTTATTTTTATAAGTTCAAACTTTGAAGAATATAAATATTATATTATATGTATATATATATATATATATATATACTTGGAATAGATAAGAATATTATCCACATAAAAAATAACAAACCATCTATTTTTTTTGAAAACACATCACGTTTTAGATGTTAAAAAATAAGTATATTATTTGTAAATTTTTAAGTTACAATATAATAAAAATGGCTCAAGCTACACACATATCCCAAGTTGCTATATGCACATCTATTATGTCTATATGCACATTCAATGTCTCTAATTGATTGCTTTTCTAATCTCCTACAGATGGATTCAAAGATAACTTCCTTCCCCTCTTTCTTGACTTGATGCATGTCTTAGACTTTGTTCTCTTCTTTCTTATCTTGATATGGGTCCTGGACTCTCCCTCACCCCCTCCCCCCTCCTTCCTTTATAAATGCCAATCAAATAAGTAAACAACACAAATTAAAGGTTTCTATATTAGGTATGCATATAGCAATTTGAAGTATGTATATAATAATTTGAGGTATGCATGTAGCCTGAGCCATTTAAAATACTTATGCCTAATATAAAAAGTGGTTTTTAAAATTTATTTCTTTCTTTGATGTATATTAATTTTAATAGTCCCTATAGATCTATTTTATTATAGGTTTAGATTTTTTTAATTAGAAAATATATTTGTATATCAAAAGTATATAATTATGGTTCTTGATGGTTATTTTTTAATGTTCACAATAATATATTAATTTACATAATACCTCATTATTTTACTGCAAAAATTAATATACTAATGGCTTTCAGTCTCAAATCAAGTTTTTATATATATTTTTGTGAATATTTTCTATTAAATCATGAATCGTAGAATCAAATAAATTAATTATTAAACTATCTATTTAAAGATATAAACCTCTAAACATATTCTTTTAAACAAAATAAGTGTTGATTTGAGTTATAGAAAAAAAAATTGTTGACATTTTAGACTATAGATTATCAAATTATCTTTAGTCAATTTGTATGTGCTTTAATTTACTATATCTACTATGTTTATAAAAAAAATACTTTTTAATTTGTATTATTTTATGCAACTAGATATTTTAAAAGAAGCAACTATAATAAGAAAAAAATCTATTAATAAATCTATCCAAAATAAAATATAAAAAATTATGAAAAAAATATTAATATAATTAAGAAGTTGTTAAAGCCACTCCTTAATGTTTTTAAAGCCACACCCATTATTACCATCTCATGATCAATTCCATCTATCCCTATCTATGTTCCTTATTCCATGTCTTCCATCTCTTATTTCCAACCTCTATGCCTTATTTCCTATCTCCATCCTATCTACTATCCTTGTCCCTTATTCCGTGACTTTTGCTCCTTGTCTTTGTTCCTTATTCTCTATTCCCTAAAATTAATCATCACATGGATTGGAGGATGTGGCTTTCACAAAATTAAGGTGTAGCTTTAACAACTTCCTATAATTATAGATACAAATGCAAAAAGATTCAAATTTTTAATTGATATGAAGACAATGTGAGCAATTTCAAAGAAAGTTAGGTTGTCCATACATAGAATTAGTTAAATTAAAAATAAAAATAGTAATTAGTGGCTTTCAAATAATTAACAAATAAAAATTTATAATTACATTTATTATAGATGAATTTTTTTTGACAAAAAATATATGTATATATATATATATATATATATATATTTAGAGTTTATAGTTTGGTGATATATTTTGTCCATTTACCAATATTTTTAAAAGAATATTACTTATTGCTTGATATATCCATTCTCTTTGTTTGATTATTGTTGTCTTCTTTATCTAAGCAATACTATTCATCAAATATTGGTTAAAAATTGGATTTTTATATATAATATTTTAAATATTTATAATATGCTTGAGTAAAAAATTAATTTATATTTTAGAATAAAAACAATAAAATTCAAATATATATATATATATATATATGTATATGTGTGTGTGTCTAATATATTTAACTTTCTGAAATATATGATTAATACATTGTATAATAATTTTGAAACCACATAATTTGAAATATAATTGTAAATAGTTGGTTAGAATTTTATATCTCTATCATATAACACATGAAAAATATATTTATATTATAAAAGAATTTTAATATATATATTTTTTGGATTACACATTATTTATTTAAGCATTTTTTTTGTGAAGATCAAATTATCATGATACATATTTTATTATTGATTTGAAAAAAGAAGTTTTGGAAAAAGACATTATTTTATTTTTTATAAAAACTATTTTATATATTATTTTGGATTATGATTTTATTTTTAGAAGAAAAAAATTCAATCAATATCAAATCTATAATCATATATATATATATATATATATATATTTGTTCAAGTAAATATAAAATATTTATAAATAGTAAAAATATAATATCTTAATTTTTAAATTAATATTTATAAAATTTTAAATAAAAATTAGATGATAAAATATATGAATGTAATTATTAATAAGCACATTTAGTAATCTTTTTTCTTTTGAAGGAAAAAATATTAATTAAAAAAATAATATAATTTTTTTCTAAAGCTTATAAATTGATAAATTTATATTTTAATAAAAAGAATTATTAAATCAAAATAAAATCCTAAAAAAATAATTTATTAGCTCATGTCAAGGACATGAATTCCAAAACAATCAAAATTCCAATATACTCTAGTATGAATAGAAAAGAATAGATAATTATTTAAAAGTAGTTATAATATTAAAAATAAAATGATTATTGTTAAAGATAAGAAGACTACAGAATCTTTTATCAAGGCTAAAAATAAGAAAGATGTTGATAAGAGTAAAGAAGACCTCATTCTTGTCTCTGTATATACTTTGTAACTAGGGAGTTACATGACAATATTCTATACATTATCCAATGCATGTCCAACTTGTAGAACATATATTTAACTTGCAAGGCAAGTTTCTAATATATGCACCAAATAGCCAACTTGTAGAATAAATGACCAACATGTAGGATATATGGCCAATTTGTAAAGAAAGTAGTCAACACATGTAATACATGACCAATTTATTAGCCAAGTTTTCAACTTATTAGTTAACTATCAATACTTAAAAAATCAAATTCATATATATGAAGCTTCTAAAAAGCATTTCTACAAAATCTTATCAAAATTACTCACTTCTACTCATTTCTTCTTAATTATTTTAATATAAATAATTAATAATATATATATATATATATATATATATATATATATGGCAATATAACATCTAAAAAAAATTATATTTTTTTAAATAAAAAATACCTTGAAAAATTCAATATAATACCAACTTGGTGCTATAGTGAAAGTTGTCTTCAAAGCTTAAAATGTTGCTTTAGCTTCTTTGTTCTACTCAATTTTGTTTGTATAAGTCAAACATCCAAGTAGAGTTGGAATCTAAAAAATATTTTTGATATAAATAAAATAGTAATTAAGAAGTTTTAAAAATACTAGATATTTCTTATTATTATTAGAATCTTTTAATCTATAATATTTTAAATTTTCTTATAATCCATCAAAAGGCTATTATTTTAAATAATATCTCCTAAAAAATTAACTTGAGTTGTATTAAATACTCACTTTTCCATATATTCTTATATCTTTAAGTTTTTGTAATACATCACTACTAGATTTGCTACTACACCGAAATTGCCAGTCGTCAACGCGTACATTCTCCGTTCCATGAGCGTAGTGATACATGAAGGCAGAGTTGCTCTTCTACTGCCGTTTGGGTACTGATACATACATCAGTGGCAAAGTTCGAGGTGAATGCGTGGCATCGAATGAGCGGAAGTAGCTGGTTGTTCGACGTGATTTTGGTGGTAGTCGACAACGATATTGCGGTGG